TGGAAAAGTTTCAAGCTGGTGAAAAGGGCTACAGCTGAGCTAAAGGTTAAAGCAGAGCAAAGTTAATCCGCGTTTTTGTTTTGTATTATATTTTTAGCCTAGACTAGGACTTCAGCACGTACTGAGACACATGTACAGCCAAGATGGTAAAATGGACTCAAAATGTTGTGGCTCCCAAGGTGGTTTGATTTTTGTTGAAAAAACAAAATGACTTATTAACATTAGTGTTGCCGACCCCTGCACTAGCTTTTAATATAGTGTGCACGCCTCAGACTTTCCGGGCACTGCATTTCCGCACTTTCCAAAGTTCCGCCTTTTGCGTTCCGTCAACAATATGTTATCAATTAAAATGTAGAAAATCATTTTTTGACATTTGTGAATCGATTCAGAATCGCCCACGTCCGTATCGCGATGCATCTAAGAATCATATATATAGGGGTTAGGGGGAAACTCAAAAAGGCGGACGATCAACGTTCGACTGTTTTACGAGACTTGAGTCAGCTTCTCATTCTCCAGCTTCTTGTTCGAACTTTCCCGTTACACCTTAAATTCTGCCTGAGGCGCTGAATTTAAATGCAGCACCGTTTAAGGTGGAATGGGAAAATTCTAATGGGAAATTTGAAAGAGAAGCTGACTTCATCTTTGCAACTTTTTAGTGTTTGACAGTCTCTTGTTGCAGATTTAACTTACCAGGAAACCAACTGCAGTGCTTATAAATGCGAATAAGTCCACTCATCTCCAAATGTTCGTCTTAAATCTCTCTCTTTGCCTTTTCGTTAGCTACTGGCTAGGTGAGACTGCGTTGCTATGTGTGCTCACCAGTTCTCAGTCATTGAGAACCAGGGTTTCGCGCTATGTTGCACACGTCCCGTCTCGAAGATATTTTACTGACACAGCAGTCCCACCATTCTCTACAATGAGACCAAAACCAAAGTTATAAATCACTAAAGAAAACGGGTAGGATGGCTGTAACGTGTGCTGCGTGGACATGCACTGCCACTGGATCTTACGTCACCGTAACAGCGCATTTTATCACAGATGAGTGGCAACCAGTGTCTCATGTGCTCCAAACAAGAGCAGTGAATGACAGCCAAAAATCATTGTATCCGTAGTTTCTCATAATATTTTTCAAATGTGGCACTTCTGGTTGTTTTTTCTTCATTCCACCTGAACAGATGTCTGAAAAAAATATATATCATGACAGTGCATTTTGTGTGACTTTCTTGAAGTATCACAGTGTTTTGCCATATCACCCACCCCTGATAGTAACTGAGTGAAATATGTCAGTGGCATACTGGAATGTCCACTTGTAAATTGTATGTGTTTCAAGTGACTTCAGTATTCTAAGTAATAGGCACTCAAGAATTAGGAAAGAAATCTGCAAATGAAAGAGGAGGTAGCATATCTAGATGATCCACTTAGTTTGTATGAATCCATGCAATCAGTAAGGCACATTTTCTCCATATCCTACTGGAGTTTTTGGGATATACCCCAATTTTTGTTTCACTTTTAACCATGACAAGTCTGAAAAACCCACAGTAACAGAGCTTTATCTTTAAGCTTTCACAACCTGTAGCCTGTAAACGTGACCTCGATTACCAAACACTATAAACAGCTTTAAATGTCAATAGTAACTCATTCAGTCTTTGTTTCCTCTTCTGGCTTTTTAAACAGTTGACAGATGATTCACCTTCGTGTTGACGCAGCTCAGAACAGCAAGGATAACTGAATCATAACTGGATAGCTGGAGCAGGAAAAACTGGTTACTCTTTATTAGTCACTTTCAGCAGTTGTAAATTAAGAAAAGAAAACCACGGGTGTCGGCAGCCAAAGGTTACAGGTGTTTATGCCATTCCCTAAAATATTGAGCGTTCAAACGGAAAGTACATTTTAGTAAACTTAGACTTTTTTTTTTTTCTTTTTTTTTCCCAACTGAAGAAAGAGCATTCCTCCACGAAAGCAGTTTTTTGAACTCTCCAAACATGTCATAACTGTGGTTGCATTCGTCTTTGAGTGCGGACTGAATGGCAAACCAGTAATTCAGAGACTCTTTTCAAATCTCTCTTCACTCTTTTCCAAAATAGCCTGGACAAATGATGCTTTGTGCTTCAATATTTTTTTTTCTTTACTGTGTCGTTCACTGGGTTGTTGGTTTGTGTTGAAGTTTAAAGGCAGTTTAACAAAAGCTCTGGCCTTCATTGTGTTTAGCCGTAGTTTTGGATCTCTCACTACCCTGTAATCTAGTATTTTCGTTTTCAGATCATTTACAGAGAATCTCTGCAGTGCGTCTAAGTATTGTTAAAAGTAACACATTTCTTAGAAGGCAGTGTTTTAATCTATTACACATAATACTGCGTAATGATTCATACAGCAGTTGTTTGGCTGTGGTTGAACAAAGCCTGTTGTATGCGGACTAGATACAGAACCAAGTTGTTTTAAAGCTTGTTTTTTAGAGGACTGGGCTGTGTGAGTCCTCAGGCAGCTTTTGGACAGGAAAGGAATGATTGTCTTGGACGCAGGCCCACAAGCTGAAGCTCTCTCGAACCCAGTTCTCTCATGTTACCTCTTCTGCAAGGTAGAACGGCCCAGCTGAAATTCTGCTTACATTCTGTATACCTCTCTAATAAAAGCTGTAATGCTGATAAGTGGAATTGCCCAGAAAATTATGACAAAAAAGGCCACCTGACCTGTTTCAGATTATTTATTGGTATTATTATTGATTATTTGGTCTTATTGCTGCAGTTAGATGTAAAAACAAATCCGTTTTATGAGGTCCAGGAACCGCTCTGAGAACTGTGCATGTACCACAGCGAGCTAATTTCGATTGACAGTCGATTGTCACTGCACACCAGCGATTCCGCCCGGCTGATGCAATGCATCGATCATTCTTGGACCACTGGAGGTTCACAGGGAGGTCACCAATTAAATGTGATGCCGCCTGTCAGGCAAGTAATGCGGCCTCTGCATAGATTCATTTTACTTTGTTCAGTGAGGCTGAAAATATCACCTAATACCTCAGAGAGCCTCAGCCCAAGGCTGAGAGATCACATGATCGTCTGCGCTACCTTTTGAAATTGAAATGCTAAGGAGCCCTCTGAAAGCCTGCCTCTGCTTCGAGCTGAGGGGAGAGAGAGGGAAGGCAGAGCATACAAAGCAGGCCCTGTCGCACTGAGAGAGGTGAGGGGGGTGACAGAGAGAGAGAAAATGAACGGGAGAACGAGAAGGGGGATGGAAATTAAAGTCACGGTCATAATGATTTTCTGTTACACTCGGCTGTGTTCCGTCTCGTGCCAGGAAGAGACGTGTGATAGGATTTACATTAGGGAGCCATTCTGTATGGTATGATTAGGCATTCATCCGACCAAATATAAAGACGATTCTATGCAGGGTGGGGTTTTATAATATTCTAAAGCTTGAGCTCCGCTCTGATGGCTGCAGATGTGGTGAGAGTTTTGATATAGTGCTGCTATTCACTATTAAAATTTATAGATTTGCTATAAGCACGTGTAAGCTGCCATTCACTTCATTCTTGTGCGAAATTTCATTGAATCTCATGCTCACGAGTATAAGCGTTTACAACATGGTCTGTCTATGCTTGTTCATATGGCACAGATTGCACTGTTTGTGGATATCTGTTTACAATGTATGTAATAAATTTCCAGTATTTTTCATACAGTTTCACTTATATTTACAATATGAGCCTAAAAAAGAAAAGTCTAGGTCTAGCTATATGGAGAGTGCAGTAGAGGTTGACCGTGCCTAATCTTTCATTTTTGTGACATACAGTGTTCTTCATGCTGGTTTTGATGTAACATTTTAGTATTATGTGTAATCATTAGGGATGAACTGATTAAGCTGTCCCTAACCCTAACGATCATTGATAACGACACCTGGCTGTGACCAACACTGATACCAATAACTGTTGCTGAAGCCCAGGAAAGGTGCTAACGGATTATATCAAGGCATTTACCTCTTACTGCACCTCAGCTGAGACATAATATAATATTACTGTATAATATACATTCATAATATACATCTATGGAATATAACTGTGTAATTACTGTATAACTTAATGTAATGGATCACAATGATTCAATCCTATTAGGGCTGTCAGACAAATGTGATTAATCATGATTAATTGTTTTCTAATGTTTGATGCTGAAGAAATAATTTTGATGATGAGTTGACACATAACTAATTAGATAAGTGCATTTTCTCCTTGCTGTACCTTAGATAGGGCTGAATGATTTGGGGAACATCATTGCAGTTTTTCTGACTAATATTGCAGCTACAGTTTAAATTGAGATTATTTTCTATAAATTAAAGTTCAGGCCTGTTTTTTGTGTGTGTGTGTGTGTGTGTGTGTGTGTGTGTGTGTGTGTGTGTGTGTGTTTTTTTGTTTGTTTTTTGGCCAGGAAGGCCAGAATATCCACCTTTTCTGGCTTGAGGCCTGACCCCTGAATGTAGTGTGCTGCCAGTAAGTTGTGGTTGTGATGTCACAACACATGGTTTGGTTGCCTCTGATTGGTCTAACTGATCTAGAGGCAGTTCACAATCTCTGTGTTATGTTAAATTTCCCCACTTAAAACATAAGACAGCATTTTTGATAACATGGGCTATGATTTAAAAAATTGCAGCTCTTGCAATTTGAAACTTGCACTCTATTAAATTGCAATTTCTTTATAAAAACAAGTAATCTTTCAGCTCTAACCTTAGCTAAAGCTTTTGTTGTAAATCACAAGTGTTTTGTCCTCTAACTTAATTGTTCAGTACTTTCACATTTTCACTTTGCAGCACCACAGTACAAATAGGGCACCGAGTTATCAGTTGTTATTGCCTGTAATTCCAATATAGAACCAGTGGTAATTAGATTTTTTCTATTTTTTAGTAAATATGTAATATTGCTCACTGTAATATTGTGCACTCCTAATAATTCTGTGTAAAATATGAATGCTTTAGTAAGCGAGGGCCATCTCCCTATGCATCTCTCTTCCATGCAGGTCCGCTGGATGATGTACTGGATCGTGTTTGCACTCTACACTGTAGTGGAGACAGTCACAGACCTCACTATAGCCTGGTAAGACTGACATGCTATGCTAATGCTTCATTTGCCTGATTGCATGTGATTGGTGTCAAACTAAACAAACAAGTCATTTGATTTAGGAACTTGCTGGTGTTGTCCCACATCAAGGAATGTCAGAAACACAATCACGCTTTAATGAAATGAAGTTGCCTTTTTTAATATGGGATTCCTGAAATCAATTTGTTGGAATAGTCTTAATGAGTGCAATTATGTCATCTGATTAATAGGATGTAATTTGGGTCTCGGTATGTCTGTGGCTCTTTCTTTATGAAGGTTTCCGCTCTATTATGAAATAAAGATTGCCTTTGTGATCTGGCTCCTGTCGCCGTACACTAGAGGAGCCAGTGTTATCTACAGAAAGATCCTACATCCTCTTCTGACTTCAAAAGAGAGGGTAATTCTGCTTTTGATTCATCTTCCCTCTAATGCAAGGTGTAATACCAACTAGCCATTAGTGCTATTAGTAATATTGAAGTAATTATGCTAAGATGTTAAGCATGGCTTATCAGTCAGATTACATATAATTGAGCTCAGTGTTATCATGTTTTATTTGCCCAACAAATCACATTGTGTTGGTTGGCTTTTTGTTGTTTTCCAAGATTAATACTTCCTTGCAGCATGTTAGTTAGGGAGTACTTCTAGTAGTTTTGAAGTAAAAGGTAGTTCAACTGTCAGAGCAGGGAACATGTGTTCTGTGAGATCAGCACCAAATAGACATTGCTAATTGGCATTTTTGCATGTGAATAAATCAATTTTTTTTATCTATATATTGCTCTTACCAAAACAACCCACAGATTTTGTCACCTCAGTAAGCATATGTATTCATGTTTTGCGTCGAATAACACTAAGAAACACAACCTTGTCACATTAAAGTTGTCATAGGGTGGAAAATGTTTCAGATAAAACTAGCTACACACCCAGACTTTCTGTTGTCAGTTTTCACTCTGTTAAATTATGTAGAAGGCATCACATTGTCGATGTTTCATTGAATGAGTGAATTATGTTCTCTCTACAATTTTGTGATATAAATGACAACTGTAGTTTAAAATCAGGTGACCACTAGTGTGTCTGCAAGCCCCTGTCCCAGACAGGATGTTTGTGCTGTTCCTTTTTTGTGTCTGTTTACTATAAACCCATCACTCTCACTCTCTCTGTTGTGCTTTAAGGAAATTGATGACTACATTGTTCAAGCTAAAGAGCGCAGCTACGAGACCATGCTGAACTTTGGCAAGCAGGGCCTAAGTATAGCAGCTACTGCAGCTGTCACTGCAGCTGTCAAGGCAAGTGCCGAACTGCATGTTCGTGTTGTGTGTGTATGTATGAAGGTGTGTTGTTTTTAAGGGCGTGTGTATTTGTGGACTTCAGCCAACCTTTTGTTCTTGTGCCTTTGTATTAGTAATGTGTGTAGTTTTGCACTTTGTATGTATGTCTTTTTAGACCAATGCTCATTTTTCTTTTTTTTTTCCCTTTTTTCCTTCCTTGTTGTGTCAAAAATCGACACGATCTCAAGCACAAAGCCCTGGCAAAATAGGAATAGAGCATCTTAATGGTCTTCATTCATAGGGAAATGTCAGCTTTTTCAGCATTTAGCCAAGAGCAGTCTGTAATCAGGCTGATATCTTAATCAAAAGCTGCTGATTTACCCATTGTCCTGACACAGTTCCCAGCCAGAGGAGGAGCAGCAGCAAGGGAAGAGCATCCTTTTGAAACAAGGAGATAGAGGATGGTGCCCATATTGTTCATTTTTTATTATTATTTTATGCTACTGATCATTGTTTCAAAGGATGTTTTTTCTTTCTTTCTTCTCCCTTTCTTCCTTTTTCTCTTCATGTTTTCATCCATCTTGAATCCTAACCTTGGTGTTGATCTCTCTCTTCTTACTTTGTACTGACATACTGTCCCATAGGAACTCTGCCCTACTGCTCTCTCCAGTGGAGGTAATGATATACAGTCTACAGCATGGGAAAGGATGTGTCATTTACGCAGATGTTCATATTTTTTCCTTTTTTTAATGCTCTTGGTTTTTGTTTTTTTGTCCTTCTTTTTCGTTTCTTTTCAAACCGACTCACACATATGCAGTTAACCACTAATGATCTCCCCATAGTAGTACAGTCTACATCTGTTCGGTAAAGCTCATTGTTCATTTACCCTTGCATACTCCCTTTCAAAGTAATAGCAACAGGTCTCCAACTTTCAGGGGTTTTTTGTTTTGTTTGTTTTACACACACCTGTTAGTCCATGGACTATTGAGGTTCACGTTTTATTCATGAGCATGCATGCTTATTCTTTTGAGTTTGCAGTAATTATTATGCACAGCAAGTTGTATGTGTGCAGGTATGCATGAATACTGCTTAACCTTGTGGGCTTTCTTTGTCTTCAGGGGCAGGGTGCCATCACAGAGAAGCTGAGGAGCTTCAGCATGGCTGACCTGACTCAGATCCCACAGGATGAGGCCGGCGGCCAGCTGTACCCAGCCTACTCCAGTTCCAACCCAGCCAGGAGAGGCGCAGGCACCACCCAGCCCGACGGAGCCGGTACTATCTGTTAGCTTACTGTAAACTCTGGCTTTAATGATTAACCTCGACACTTCTCTTGAAACGAATCCTTCTGTTAGCTTTCCAGCTAGAAGTGCAAGCTATTGTTTCTCCTCTGCTGGTGGTCTGTCGTTCCACGCTGCCTTGAAGATTAATTAGTGCCATCAATGTAGGTGGTAAATATGAACTCCTAGGTTGGCATTCCCCACGTCTAGCCTCGTCTAGCATGATGGAGAGCGTTCTATGCTGCAAGTATAAACCCACAGTGCTTTTGCGAGGCTATTTTCACCAGATCTAGCAAGCTCCTGGAAAGCGCCATCATTGCCTTCCACTCCATGCTCTTGCCAGCAAATGGAATGGATTTTTTATTTGTCTCAAGCGCAAAGAGGGTAATAAGCAAAGGCAGCACATTCAGAGCATGAAAGGTCTAGTGGAGCCTTGTGCGAAGATGTGGTCAGGGGGGGCCCACTGTCTGAGCAGAATACCAAATGCACTCTATCTCAGTATGCTAATGTGCTGGTCGTGTTTGAAATTCCACCGGTATCCAGGTCATTTTCATCTCGATGGCAATGCAGCCACAATAAAGCGAGCTGCTTCAAAATGCCACTGCCTTTCAGGAGACAGAAAGAAACAGCCAAGGTTGTCTGCCGATGAAGCAAACAGCTAATTGTGGATATTTTTTCTCCCCCATTTGAAAAGAGAAAGGAGAGACAAAAGGGGCCTTAAGTGTGTCATTCAGCCGGCTGTCATTAACAGCCCTGTTTTGATGTTGGTAGAGCAATAGGGGTCAGCTGAGGGAAAGCAGTCAAAGTGCCTTTTTATGGCTCTTTCTCTTTGTTCTTCGCTTCAGACACTCACCCCCCCTCTCCTGCAGTTGGTCACATTCCTCTGTCACACGAGGCCTGAGGTCTTGTGGCCGTTCAGGACGAAACGGTGCCAGCTATTATCAGATATAACAGAAATCCTAAACGTGGAGTATCACAAGGCAGAATCCAGTTTGTATTGCACTTCAAGTAGCCTTTTTTCGGTACTCTGAGGCAGACAGATTTGCTCTTGACATACAGTGTTAGAATGCAGTGAAAATGTCAGACTACCCTGTTGCTTATAATGGCTCAGGTCCATCTGAAATATTTCTATAGGCACAATAATTCCAAACCAACTTTTGATTAGATTTTTTTATAGCTTGTGTCACAAATTGCTAGAATAGCTTTGGAAAATGAATTGTACTTTTCCTAAATCCAGTGGAAGTTGTTCTGTTTCACTAATGAAAAACACTTGTGGGGGTGTGGAAGCGAACAAAGAAAGCTGGTGGTTGGGGAGGAGACTGGTTTCTGTATCACTTCCACCCCCCTGTGGTCAAAAGGTAAATGTATAAACCCTTAAATGTATTTACAGTCTCTGTGCATTGGATTTTGGTATATGGTAAAAGCTTGGCCATATGGTGGGAATGGTAGAGTGCAGTGGGCTGCAGTAGTGTGATTTGGCTCCCTGGTACAGACTGGCCTTGCAAAGCTCTGTCTGAGCTGAAGGAGAAGGCCGTGCCAGGAGCGGCCTGAGACTAAGGCGAAGGGCTGCAGCCGCTCAGCTCTCTCTGTCTTGTTCTCTCTCTCATTTTCTCTCCCTCTCCCTCTCTTTTGCTTTCAGGACTGTAAAGTCATTTGGTCAATCAACAAGTCTGATTATAGAAAAACTCAATGTGTTTTTCATTCACAGATCTGTCAGTGTTGGTGTTTCTTTGCACCATAAAAGAAGATATTACACATGGCACACTGTCCATTGAAACATTTTAAAGATGTTAAAATGCCAGTCATAGGTTGTTAATGCTCATGTTGCACTTGCATTGTGCAGTCAGCTAATGTGATAGGCTAGACCAAATGTGACCTATCGCATATTCTCAAACAGTCTAAAATATGAACTCTTTCTTAATAAAAACATAAGGTAACATTGTTTTTGTGCTAGCATAAAATAGGCCTTGTGACATGCTCAAAGCATTTGTTTCAGTCTTCATGGCTGCTGTGGAATCAAATGAATTGCTCATGAACTTTAACCTCCTCCAGCACTCCTGAAGCCAGTTTTAATCCAAATATGAAGCGGTGTGTAGAAGCAGAAAGCATTTGCTAGTGCCCTCTTGCAATAAATAGCATGTCTTTATTGACCGTCAAATCAGTATAAACCTGCATTGCTGTTCATAAATGCATTTGAGCATAGCTTTTAACTTGTGCAAGCTAAATTGCCTTGTCTATCCCTAGACTATCTCAGCTGTTGGTTACATTTAAATACCTACATGTTAAACAATGACATTTCCTTAATGTTTGTTAGAAAAAGGTAAGCATCTTGCCACAGTATTTCATTAACTTCATCTCTGTAAGCATACATTTTCAGGTAACTCTTCGCTAAAGGGCAGTGTTCATGAGGTTATGTGACATCACATGTATAAACACTTTTTGGGTGAAATGACATTAAAATTAACCGTTATGGTAACTGATGCTTGTTGAAATAATACTTTATGAAAGCTAATGTAAGTGTCATGTAGCCTTATGAATGATTCAGTAGTGTTAATTTTTTTTTGGGGGGAAATTTAACTGCTGTTAACTGCTATGCTTGCACACCAGTAGTAGATGCTCATAAGATGATACCTATATGTTTGTTTCTTCCAGAGTATTACCAGTATGAGCCGGAAGAGCGGACAGATGAAGAAGGCGAGGCTGTATTCTCTGAAGATGAAGCTGTGACACAGCGTGGTCTCAGACGGTCTCAGAGCGTCAAAGTGTCCCGCTCCAAACTACGCAAAGATGTACGAGTCTTTGATATTAGTGACTGACATGGCATTGTTTTGAATTTGTGCCAAAGGCACACTTAGCTCTGCAGTATGGAATTCCTACTAGAATTTAATGCATCTGGCTTTATTTTTCACATGCTCTGTAAGATGATCTGGAACATCTGGATTAGTTGTGTTAGATTAAGTTTAGATTTGGGTCTGTCAGTCTTTCCTTAAACAACTGTGGTGATCATAATTGTACATAATCTGTGTGGATACTAATTTTTGTCATAACTGCCACAACTGCACCTAATGATCCCGTATCCGTTGCAGGCCCGTTATGGATCTCTGAAAATCAAAGGGAGAAGGAGGCCAGCACTGAACCCCATGACATACGCCAGCACTGAAAACTGACCAGTGACTACTGACCCAGAAGAGCTTTATCTATAGAAACCTAATGTGTTAATATTCACCTCTTCTCTTAATGGCTGTGGGTTTCATTCTCATGCTGAAAATCCAGTATGTTTTTTAATGCAGCACAAACACAAATATTTATTTCTGAATATTGAGTGTAATCAAATGCAAGTGTGAATATCATGGTCAAATATGTAATGTGGAATTTCAGGGGCTTTTCTACTTGTTGTAGGTTTTTTTTATCGCATGAAATGACCTTTTAGTATTTTTATTGTACTAAATGCACAAAGCTAGAAGTGAATTTCTTTGGATGTGGGTTTTGTACTGTGTTGTTTTTGAGTCTCTTGTGCTGCCTTGTTATTACCTATTTTAAATTAGATTTTTCCAGTTGCTAATTACATAGATCTTGATACTGACACTTGAATACAATCAGACCAAAAGTGCCCCTTACCATTAAAGGAAAATAATACTAAAGGGAGTGAAGGGGACTCGGGTTAAATATTTGGTGAAGGTTCCGTGGTTGCTCTTGCTGATGGTACCTTTTTGTACATTTTGAACCTTTGTTATCCGGATGCAGAATGTACCCTGGTCTCAGAAGAAGACCACATGTTTTCTTCATATACCAAAGTGTTATAATCCACTACATCTGGTTCAGGTTGAATCCAGATGGAAGTGTGGAAATGCTTGGCTGAATGTTTAGTTCTTAATTAATGTGTTGGTATGATTGAATAAACTTCTGAGTTTGCGGTCAAATTGTCCATAGTTTTTGTTTTTTTATATTTCTTTCATATTTCTTTAGTTATTTGATTGAAAGGGGTATTAAATATTATAACTGAGCTCCTGTTGAGCTGCATTATAGAGTAATGCTCATTCTTGTCCTGCATAGCCCAGACACTAATGCTGAGCTAAGGCCTTGTGCCAAACTCTACCACCCCAGGGCAAAAAATGTTATCTTGGCAAGTGAAATGATCCTAAATCTAGTCGATAGGTCTAATATTTTTCAGTTTAAGATCATTGTATTTTAAGATTAGCTTATTTCAAGACATTTTTACTTGTTTTAGTGATTTTAGTCTGATTATCTTACTGTATTGCCAGATAATTTGGCTTGTTTCAAGCAAATTTCCTACCAGCAATATTATCTATCAGTATAATGAGATAAAAATGATCATTTGCCTTATTAAAATCACTTAAGTAAAACATGTCTAGAAATAAACTAAATAAACTTACAATAAGCTTACAACAATCTCAAAGTGAGAAATATTAGATATGCTGACCAGATTTAAGATGGTTTCACTTGCCAACCTGGCTAACCAGGAACACTACAAATCAAACCCCAACCACACTGATCTAAACCCAGTGATCAGATACTGAATACCTGGTGTAATGTATGTTAGAACTGGTATAGAGTAAATTTATGGACTGTGGTGGTCCCTGAGGAGTGAGTTGGGAAATGTTGATGTGATTAGGATGAATGGAGGAGTTGGCTTCAGAAACAGCCTGACAGGGAGATCTGTCAACAAGGCTGTAGCTGTGTATGCACCACACTTCTCCCAGGCCTGCACAAGCCTGTGAGGATTAATAAGCCCACATCTGAGACATCTGTATTCCCACTGCTCACTACAGCTTGCTGAACCGTGCTCTGTGTGGCATCAGGTGAACAATGGGAGGTGGTGATTCTCTGTGAAGTCCGGGCTCCGAGAACTTATCTTTCAGCCAGGAGCTGAATAGGTGTTTGTAAAGATAAAGGCGCAGGTGTGCATGAAATGAATTGCCTGTTATTTATATGAATGGATACCGTGCTGATCAATGTGTGCATAAACTGATCAGCCATAACATTGAAACAACCTCCTTGTTTCTTCTCACTTCTCCACATACCATATAGGAGCACTTTCAAGTTCCACAATTACAGACTGTGGTCCATCTATTTCTCTGTATCTATGTTAGTCTCCTTTTACACTGTTCCTTAATGCATGGACAGCCATGGGACCACCCCAGAGCAGGTATAATTTGGGTGGTGGATCATTCTCAGCACTGCAGGGACACTGACGTGGTGGTGGTGTGTGTGTTGCACTGATACGAGTGGATCAGATTTAAAGTTTAAACACTGTGTCCACACACTGTCCACTCTATTAGATAATTATAAAAATAATAATTACAATAGTTTTTATGTAAATAGCACATTTCATGGTGGTGGCAGCTCAAAGTGCTTTGCAGACAGGTGATTAAGCTTAACAGTAATACAAGAAATTATAAGTATTAATTTAGAATCATATAAGAAAACGATTTTTGTTGGCCATGCAATGGCAGGATATTTTTGGTCGGTGAATTATTCTCAGTCCAGCAGTTACACTGAGGTGTTTAAAATCTGATCCAGGTAATAAAGGCCTCCAGGAATATCTGAATCAACTCAACACAAACTTATTCTGGTTGATCATTGTTTATCTTATGATGAAACATGACCCTAGTGGGAGAGTGAAAGAGCCTCCCCACCCCATCCCCCCAAATGAAGTACTTTTAAATATATTAAAGCTGTTAAGCAATTAGACATTGTTCGAAAAAACAGCATAGGCCAACATTCCTGGTCACCAGCAAAACCAGCATACTGTTGTTGTGCAAAGAAAAGTATTTCCAAATGACTTCACAGGAGAAGGCAAAACCTTCCTTTATTTTTAATGTAAGTTAATATCAATAGATTTTCCAGCAATTTTGGAGCATTTTCTATTGGTCCCTTTATTATGAAATTTACACAGTGTGAAAGGTAGCTGCTGTGCTTAAATGATGTAGAAAACCAAAAATCAAAAAAATGGAGATAACTATTTTTTTGTTTGTTTGTTTGTTTGTTGTTTTTTGTTTTTGTTTTGTTTTTGTTTTGTTTTTTTGGACATTAACAATATGTTGGGTTTTGGATGCTGTTATGCTGGTCAGTAACAGTAGAAGTTATAAGGCTGATAAACAGATAAACCAGCTTATGTTGTGTTTTAGATGCTGGTATACTGGTCAACGGAGTTGCTCATTGAGTCTTTTTCTATTCCTGACCACTAGATGGCAGGCTTTGTCTGCGCTTGCATTTCTGCAGAGTCTGGCCTTAGTGGTCCATGCCTATGAACCTTAAGCTTTGCGACCCTTTGTCACTGAAATCAGGCTATTCCCAGGTCAGCTGGTGTAAGAAGTGCGCTCTGCTCACCGCTCTGTTCTGCTAAAGCCTCTCAGAGGTGCTGTAGTTCCTCTGAACACGCTGTGTCAGCACTAGCTTAGCAATAGTGCACAAAGACACGACATAAATCATTCGGCTCAGTGTCGCTGGCTGTGTTAGCTGGTTCTTTTTTAAGACAGCAAGGAGCAACTGTATCAGTTTTAGACTAGGTTATGGGGTAGCGTTTTTTTTTTCATTGTTCTCGTTTTCTACTTGCTTTTTGTTCGTACAAGTGTTTGTTCGTCTCAGATGCAATTATTGTAGGTGTGCAATAGTGTAATTTGATAATATGTCCACCAGGTGGTGCCACAACAGCACGTTTAACACTCAGAACTGCAATTCTTTATCCAATGTGCTTTACTTCACTACCAACCCTTTTTTCTCAACCTCTCACTAGACCAGTAAACAACAGTACAAAAGCCCCACCTACTACAAAAGCTTTTGCAACAGTAAAATACTGCAGAGACTTTCAGCACCTAAATAGTTCAGCTTTGATTTTCTTGACCAAACCTGCTTATTTTTATACCACAATAACTTCTAGTTATTGAAGACTCTTAACACACACACGTCTGGAAGCAGGCTTCTTTCCGGCCATGGCTGTCCCTCGAGGTTCTGACCGGGCTTTGACTCTGCTTTCTGCATGCTGGGAAATGCTCAGCATAATTCACAGCAGTGGAGAACACTCAAATGTAGGGGTCAGCAATATGATGATTAGTTAGTAATATTGTGTTCAATTACATCACAATGTTCTTTTCTTGGGATATCATGGATGTCATCAGAACTTGAACACTGAACAACTGCATCGGTCATAAAAATGGATTTTGACCATCAGCAACAAGCAGTAGTAATGACATAGTAACAAGCATTCTAAACCCTATTAAGTTCAGCTCACTCAAATGATATCACGTTAGAATAAGACTACCCTTACACTGTTAGAAATAAAGGTACTGTGCAGGTACATTTTTCGTCACTGGTATATTACTGATACTCTGTTTAAGAGGTTATAAAATAAAATACATAAATTACTTAATTAAATAAATTGTATAAATGAAGAGGTTTTTAATTTTAAAATATAACATACGCTAACCACAGCACTGAGAAACACTACTGAGTTGAGAGCATATGTAAGCTGTTTGCTACAACCAAACTGAGTACTTAGCAGAGACACAGTTAGCATACCTAAAACATGCAAGTGCATCCAAACTTGTATTTAACCTAACATAACGTGAACATGTTGTTCATCATGTTGTTGTTGAACATCAAGGAAAAATACGAGCTAATAAACGGAAATATACTAACACGCTAGGAATTCTGGGTGACTCCACCCTGTACTCTCTTATTGCTTGTCTTTTTGAGATGGATGGATTTAGCAGGAGTTTTTCGGAACAAGTCACATGTCTTTACGTATTAACGTCACATGCACAAGCTCAAAAAGAAGGTCTGACTCGAGGTTTAGGTCTCAAATGCAAAATTAACATTATACAGATGAAGATATGCTGATTATAGTTAATAATTCACTCACATACCTGGAAGACATGTCCTTCACCAAGTTCTTTTCAACGCACTCACAATTCACAAGTCAGATTCATCCGCTTGTGAGAGTCCGAAGCACAATTACATTATTACATATTTCCACCAGAGAGGTCTCCAAACCCCAAATTTTACATAGTGTTGCTTTATGCACTAACTGCCTCTGTTACTTCTTAAATACTTTGGTTTTGCGTATTTTTAAATCTGGCACTTCTGCTTTTCTGGTCAGTTTTGTCAGGTATTCCCATCCATATAGAAGTAGCGAAACAAACTAGAGTTCCTCCACCATCTTGGTGCAATATACAAGGCCTGTTTGCTGCACCACACAGCATGACCAAGACAACACAGAAGACAGAATAAATAAGTAGTTTACAAGGAGTATCCATAGTTTCAATACTAGTACACAGTTGTGAAAAAAACTAGGCTGAAAGCTCAACAACAATCTTGCATTGTAAAGATGCATCAGTACATCATGATGCAATGATCTGAAGGTGGCGATTGAACAGGATCAAGTTAGAAGTGTTATGTTAGGGTAAAATGTTCAAAAACCATGTCTCATTTACAATTCTTGTGCTATTTTCACACTTTTTCAGATTGTCTACATCACGGATCACCAGTCATATCCGCTAAGGGTCGATGTGGCTGCAGGTCTTCATTCTAGGCAAGCAGATGCACAGCTGACACTATTCGTTTAATAGGTTGGTTCCCATCTATGAGTGTTTAGCAATATGAGGTGTGCTCCTGCTTGGTTGGAAAGAAAACCGAAGCCACACTGGCCCTTTGCGGATATGATTGGTGACTTCTGATCTATATAATACCAATATGTAAATAATTCCTGGAATGTCATTTGTGTTTGTATTCATTTTCATTGCATTCATTGTATTCATTTGTGTTTGTATTTCATTGATTTATTCATTTGTATTCACTCTGAATCATATCAATATATTTGACATTTTATGATGCATTAAATAGTTACCTAAAAAATCATAATTTACTTGAATCCATGTAAAGAAGGAGATTTACACAGTGC